TATTTCGTAGACTAGTTGACAGTTTTGTTGATAGAACCTTTCCTAATGTTTGCGGAGAACGGAGGGAACAAGAGTTGCAACATTCATCCGCTCTAAAGCACTCCAAAGTTCGGGAAAATGAATCGTTCGCGGCGTTCATTGTCTCAGGTGTGCCTGTGGGCAACCGGAGACAGATGAGTGGCTGTGTGTTCCCAAAATAGCATATTTCGTCCCAATTGCCTTAGACCCTTTCGTGACTAGCTGTCGTCGGTCACATTCTCCTCCTATTCTTTCACTCAGCATCTCGCATTTAACCACGCTATGTCAATGAGCGTCTCGCCTGTTTGACCGCGCCCCCACTGTGTGTGTGACCACCACACTTCTATCACTGTTCGCTGGTCACTCTTTTCAGCCCTACTTGCGGCCTCTTTAATTCGTCCGCTACCAAGCAGGAGCTGTTGTTGTGGGACGAAATGTGGTTGCTCCTACGATTCGTCTTATTCACTCATTGTTTTTCTACGATTACAAGTGCTGGTAGGTATCCTAACTTCCCACTGAAATTCGTCTCTAGAGATAGTAACAAAATTTAGCGGAATTTTTACTGTGCTAAGTCATACCATCAACCAGTACATATTATACTTTGGCTAATTTTTAGTGGTTTTTTTATATACTGGAGTAATTACCTCAGTGGCAGCATTGAAAAGGTGACGGACAGTGAGCATGAAAATTTTTTTGTTGAAACATAGTCAAATTCAACTCGTCTGTGTCTGGAATTGGCGCTCATTTTCACAAAATTTTCCTCCCGAAGTCCCCAACGTTCGACTTTACTCCCTCTTTTCATACAGTGAAAGACTTTAAAGAATGTTGAGTAGTTCACGGCACGAAATCAGCTGTTCAATCAGCTGATTCGTTGCATAATGAGTTTATTTGCTCTGATGCGTGATGGGTTTATTGTGTGAGTAAACATGCATCATTTCTCTTGTTTCATATGGCCTCGGCAAATAGAAACCTCAGAACTTTTCAAGTGTGGCGTCACGTTTTCTTGCTGAACGCGCAAATTTGCTGCATTCCATGCTCAGCACTGTACAAAGACGGCTGCCAAATGGTGTAGGGAAATATGGAAATGCGTTAATCTCTGGCAGACCCACATCTGCCACAACATTAGAATTTATCTGGATTTTGTAAAGAACCTCCCATCCCTGTAGCAGTAGGACTTTGGTTTCAAGAGATGGGCCAGGAACATTGTTGATGGCGACTGGAAGTGTATCGAAGTGATATCAGCTGATAAGATCTGATAAGGAGCCTGAGACTGGCCACAAAGTCCATAGCACGATTTACAGCACAAGTGGGTGTAGGTTCCAAGGCATGATGTAGAGTGTTGTGCTGGAACATCTATGGTGGGTGAAAAGAGTTGCTAACAGCCGGTTACTAATAACGAAAGAATTATCAGAAGGAGGAAAACGACATCAAACTGGTATACTTACTATTCGAAGGGGGAGCTTCTGTTCGCCGGTAGCCGTCCCCCTACTGTAGAAGACGATCGAAATTGGATGTTGATTGCTAATGGTCAGCTTCTCCATTTCCTTTAATCCGCTCCGCTAACAATGAGCCGGAGTTTTCGACGCTTTCGGGCTCTTAAAGCCTCTGTTCAAATAAGGGGGCATTGAGACACCCTTTTTTCGCTCGCAAAGACTGGTCAAAAAGCTGATTCATTCTTCATCAATAGCGTGGAACGCGCAATCGGAGGCACTATTCAGGTTCAGCTGGACCAGCGATCATGAGGGGAACTCCTCTTTCACAACAGGCCGTACCGTCTTCTTCAGGTCGAAGGCCATATCAATTTCAAAATACCACTACGATTCCGAATGGAAGTAGAATGCGCAGCCTCCAGAGAAGTGTTGATCAGAGTGAGCGTCAGGGTTTCTACACGATTTTCTGACGGACAAGTTCATGAGTACAGTTATTTATGTGGTTTTGGTCGCTTGGCAAAAAGGGGTGTCCTTGCCTCTGGACCCAGAATAGTCGCGCATTGAAGATAACAGTTTCGTGAACGGAGAGTATACAAGTTCGCGAATCATGTCCTTATCCAATCTGCCCCTACTTCCTACTGTTGCAGTAACCCAGGCGTTTAAAGCTGCACTTGAAAGCAAAGATCCTAATTCTGGCATTATGCAAATTCTTATGAGCAGCATAATCGTGGCGCTTACTTTGCTTCTAGCAGGGAACTGCTACTCACTTCACAGAATTCTGACCCTTGTTATCAGCTGTATATGGACCTATCTGAAGTTTACTGCATTAATCGAATCAACCAAGTAAAAGTGGAATTATCATAATGGTGAGGTGGAGGGGGTGTAGTGACAAGTGGAGCGCTTATCAACCGGCGCGGTCCCGGGTTCAAATCCCGGTACGATCCGCGCCCAGGCCACCAAAGCCTTCTACTCTCTTGGAGCGGTAAATTTTGGGTACCCATACGTTTCGTTTATCTTATCGTCCGGGGATGATAAAACGCTGACTTTGTCGGCTGGCCATCGCAACTAATTGCATAGGCCACATCGTATCCACCACATCCGCACCAATCGCATTCAGTAGGCCACTGCGATTCCTAATGGAAGTAGAATGCGTGCCGCATCCCACAAAAGGATGATCAACAGCGGAGAATTTATCCTTTTCTTAGTTGGTTCGTGATCGCTGCAGTAATAGAATGGGCTTTCTGCAATCCACAGTGTTTCAAAAAATTTACTTTGTCCATCCGTTTACTTTCACCTGTTTATCTCTTTCACAAGGAACGACACTTGGATGATAATTTTTGCAAAAAGAAGACTTTGTTTAGAAAGGTACTCGTAAAGAGCCGCAAAGTACCAGAAAGTCTTCATAGGTTTGCTTAAGACATAACACTAGTCCCGAAGTCTTGCACCAAACTCCACTTTTTGCAAAGGACTATAACTTTTTCATCCACTGACAACTATCAACAGAGGCGGAAGGGCTCTTAGCAATGGGGAAGTGGCACTCTTCCCACGCGCAGTCTAAAGTCGAATCCTGGATCCGCTCCCGCCTAGGCCAACCGAGCCTTCTATCCTCCTATGACGGTAAACTGGTAGGAATCCAATCAGAAGGGACAAAGTAGGGAGCAGGACGGGTGAGTAGAACTTTCCAGCCAAATCTGGTGTTTTGTGACACTGTTGCCACGTAAGGCTGGGCATTGCAGTAACGCTACGCACCCTGTTCTCTTACGCTTCAAATGGACTGCGTCTACCCATTTCTGTAGTAGAGGAGAGTAGATATGAGAGATCACGGTGCAGGTCCATGTTGCAGACTACAGAGTAAAGCAGAGTTTTTAGTAGTCCCCTCATCAACACAGCAAAACCTTCTTTCCACATGTTTTCCCTTTGGCTCTTTTAAAAGAGGTTTCTCTACGTTCGTGGGCGCGGATACGTAGACTGATACACTCCTATCCCTGAGACGGAGTAGGCGTGGCATTTGGACATGACATGGGGTTGGTTGCTCGTGGGATATTTCAATTTAAGACAATTGTCATCTTGTTCTGGACAAAGACATGATTACAAGTGCTCCAATATGGAAGATCTCACGAAAAGCTTAGCCGCTGTCCCGTTCAATTCAAAAACGCAGCCACGCCTACCGTATTTCAGGGATTATAAGGGTACATATCAGCTTTCGTCACCAGCAGAAAAAGTTGGAATAAGAGCAACCCTTTCTTGAGTTCTGGTTTTAAATTGGATAGTCTATGAAAGCATACCGAGAGGCATACCGAGCGGGCATACCGAGCGGACCGTTGTGGCTCAATAGTTTTTAGTTTATATATGCGAACAAGGTAGAGCTGGTGTAGTGGCAAGTGGTCCGGTTACCACATACATGATCTAGAGTCAAATCTCGGATCGGCTCCTGCTAGAACAACTAAGCCTTCAATGCCTCGATAACAAAAAATTGTTACTGGTTCTTCTGGAAAAAACACGCTCTTGTTCGTCATCTGACCCTCGCAGGTCCTTGTATAGGCTACATCGCTTTCAATATGCCGCTACGATTTTGAATTGAAGTAGAATGCATGCCGCACCCCAGAAAGTGATTGGTCAAAGGTGGAACTCTTCGTTCTATATACGCGAGCAGTGAAGTAGTTG